ACTAAAAATTACGTTTAAGTCAGAAATTTGTAGATGGTGTTGCGTGACTTAAGCCGTTCTACTCACTGCCCTGTATTAGTGTTAAACTCGCTCAAAGCAGGTTGCAGAGCTCGCCTTTGGAGTGATAGAAATGCTCAGATACTTAGTCCCCTGCTCTTGAGGCTGGACCGATATCCCTCGTCCCAGGTTGTCCACCATGTTGTGGAGGCACAGCTGGCAATGCAGTTAAACTGGTTCCTAACGATTTTCCTCCTCTCAAGGAGAACAGGAGTTTAGGAAAACTTTTTCAAAGGGAAATAACCCATACTGTCTGTGTGGCTGGCTCACTCTCTTATGATTACCACTGGTAGGACAAGGAAAATATATTGGTCAATTGCTCTTGTTGTTTCTGGTTAGGTTTTATTTTCAGCTTTAGATTTTATTGTGACATACAGGTTGCTGGAGAATGTGTGTTTTGGAAAAAAAAAAAAAAGACTTGCTTTTTCTCTAAACTTTTTCTTTTTTTTTAAATCTTGAGACTAATATTCTGCCATAATGAATCCAGGGCAAGCCTCAGCAGTGTTTAGTGAACCTTCCTGTTGATCAGCAAAGTGTTGCAGCACTGTGGAGCTAGGCCTTTCGCAGTCACGGTACTGGTTTGGTGGTAGGGGCAAAAATTAACAAACATGTTTATTCTGCCCTTGCATAGTTTTGAATCCGCATCTGTGTGTTATCCAGCTAACACAGGACAGAATTACAACCCTCCATGACATCAGGCATGATGTGGCAGTAGTTTACCTACTTAAAACTGATTTTATTTGCTACTGCTCAGTGCTGGTCAGTTGTAATAAAGCTTATGTGATAACGACAAGTTTCTTTATTCTCTAAATTGTTTTAAATTACTTTAGTGTTCAGGAGTGACCAAGAAGCTAGGTAGAGCTTCACTGGTGAGGGGCTTTTTCAGACATTTCGAAAAGTATCCATTTTCATTTTAAGGTTCTGGCCCCACTGCTGTGTTAGTTGTACGTCCCACTTGAGCTGCTGGCACTGGACCATGCAAAGAATTGGTACTGTTCCAGGGACAGTGTCTTCAGACAGAGAGTTACTCATGTGTAGCATTGAACTGCCATCCACAGCCTTAGAAGCCAAATAAATTTGCTGAATTTACAGAAAATGCCTTTTTGCATTGTGGTCGTGTTGTTTAGTGAGTCCCCTCTGAGGTTCTTGATGGCTTTTCAGAATGGTGGCAAAGTAAATGGGTACCTGGTAGTGTGATGAAGAGGTTTGTTTGAGAAGCACTTCTAACCTAGCACCTGAATATTATTAGTTTTTTGGTATTTGTGTGTGTTTGATATACAGCTGATACACCATTGTGGAAATACTTGTTGCTATAACAGTAGTTTCACAACAAACTCTTTAGGTGTTTGAAAGCGTAGGCTTAATTGCTCTAAACCCAATCGTGAAGCTTGCTCTGCTGGGAAAAAACAGAGGAAAAGCAGAGAAGTAAAATAGTGAAAAGAACTTTAATGGCCTCTTGCAACAAACAAAGGCAGAAGTAGGATATGAATGCATTTCATTGTGCTGTTTCTTCTCTCAGCTTCTTTTGCTGAGAACAAATACACATGAGCACTTCATGAGCTCAAAGACTAAAAAAGAAAACGTGCTCCAATCGTGAGACTATTCACAGAATTACTCTTAGTTGAGAAATCCCTGCCAACACTGTACTATAAAACTATAAAATACTCAATCCTGTGAATACTTTTGTAATGATATCAGTACTCTGACAATTTTGGGATGACTTGATGTGATTTACAAATAATGCCCTAGAAAGTTGTGCCAACACAGAGTTTTCATTTCAGGGAACTGATTGAAATTTTGGCAATTTCAAGAAACCAGAAGCTTCCACAACCGGGAGAGGAGAGCCAGGTAAGCTGACTTTCTAAACTGTTTTTCTTTGGGTAAGCACAATGTTTTACTTTTAATTTTTTCCTTTCTTTCTTCCTTTGTCCTTGCCTATACTCAGGCTAATAGTGACAATGAGGTTTTGGCCCCATTACTAAGGCATTCTTGGCCCTCATGTTGTTTGCTTCTTCATTTGTTGCATGTTTCATAGGCTGTTTCTGCAAACAGAGGAAGAAATTTTGTTTCATTTTTCATGCAAACAGTAACACTCGATGGATGTCAGTTGCTCTTCTTTGCAGCACGATCAAGGGTGTGTTGTTACTCTAGCTAAATTAAAAGTTCTACAAAACTTTTGTTCAATAGATCCTGGAACTGCTGATTCAGAGAGACGGAGAGTTTCAAGAGCTAATGAAGTTGGCAGTTGATCAGGGGAAAATCCATCATGAAATGCAGCTTTTGGAAAAGGTAGTCGAAAAGAGGGATAATGATATTCAGCAGCTGCAGAAACAACTAAAAGAAGCAGAGCACATACTGGTAAGTTCATAATGATGTGTTTGCTTTTGAGCATCTACTTGTGAAAAAGGTGGTTCTGGAGAAAGTGGTGTTGTGTTAGTTTGAGATGATTTAAATATTTGAAACTTCATAAGAGCTTTGTGGTTTAGGGGTTTTTTTCAGTAGTCAAATACTGTTTAGTTATCATGGTATTCAGTTTTGGTTTATAATGCTAATTTTCTTCCAAACCTGCTTTACTTCTGTATATTTTGAAAATGTTCACTGAATACTTTCTCTCTTAAAAATGCAATTAAATGCAAGGGTTTATTCACAGATCCAACTTGATGTAGAAGTTTACAAATTAAAGATGCATTGAAAGTTTGGTTTCGTTTGTTGGTTTTTTTACAACTAGGCAACAGCTGTTTATCAAGCAAAGGAAAAGCTGAAATCAATTGAAAAGGCAAGAAAAGGTGAGTATTCATGATTGTACACACTAAATACAGCTGTAAAGAAAATTGCTAGTCAGCTCAAGTTAGGGTTATTTTAATTTTTTTAATTCTTCTATCACAGATTTTAGATGCTTTGTGTGTAAACAAATTTGCATTTCATTATGAACCTATAAGCATTTCCTCAGAATAAAGGCGGGAAACAATTACTTTTTGTGGCAAATGTATCTTTAATATTAAACTTAAATTCAAGTGTCTCAACTCTCTTCTTGGACTGATAATACTGTATCTGATTACGTAAGTGTCTCACCAGATTGCCTCAGTAGGTCTAGTGAGGAAAGGGAGAATGTTTGTGTGCATGCGCGTTGTATTTGAAAGACTGACTAGCTGGTGATAATGGTTTGTATTTGTAGCAATTCCTGCTACTCTGTGGCACTTGCCAAACTAAGCTGACTTTTTTTTTCTGTGGGAGGAGTATTCTTTGTGTGTGTTTTTACAGTGTCTTTTATCATTTTGTTATACCTCTTTCATCTGTAAAATCAAGGAACTTCATAAAGTTTCTATTAGTGTAATACCGGCACATATTTAGGACGACTGCTACATGTGTGCTCTACAGTTACTAAACAAACAGTAAAAAATTCTTTATTACAGAAAATTCCATAATAAAGCAGATGCTGAAGTTGTCTTACAAATCATGCTGGGGAAGTACACTGCTTAAGAGATTGGTTTGTGTTTTTCACAAGGTTGAAGAACTGTTTAATATTAAGGTTGTAGTGAACTTTTGGCTGTAAAATCAGTTCACTGCTAAGCTTGTCCTTGCCTTATCTAAGAGTCCTCTAAGCAGTCACTGCATTTGAAGCATGCTCTTAATTTTTGACAAAATTACATTCCCAGTCTGTTCAATATTAGCGTCCAATATTCTGAAATAATTGAATGATTCAATCTCTTGAGAATATAGTAACTTTCCTTCCCTTTTCCCAGGTGCCATTTCCTCTGAAGAAATAATTAAATACGCCCATAGGATCAGTGCTAGCAATGCTGTTTGTGCCCCTCTGACATGGGTACCAGGTAACTGTCATGTTTATGACTTTTTTTATTTTATGACATCATGTCATTTTTTTTTTGTTTTTATTTAAATAATGAAGCATGGTCAGTATCTAGTCTTCTAATGCTTTTATGTAGTGAAAACCACTGTGGTATATTAGAGTAACATTGTTTTCAGCTGTTGTATCTAATATTTTCAACAAAAACGGATATCCAATGTCCTGTAGACTTTACGTACATCTTCAAAAGGCTGTGAAACTGCATGCTTCCATTACTGACTGGCCTCCTCTGTTCTCCTTTATTTGCTTTTTTCCCCTGAATGTTGGCCCCAATTTTAAGTTAGAACCAAGTATGTTAAAAGTCTTTTCCATGTGCTTGGTTGTGTTCCCTCCTGCTCCTCATAATATTCTTTACAGAGGATGTTAGTAATCAGTGGAGTCAAAAGCAGCATTTTCATTATGTCAGGTTTCAACTTTGGGAAATATCCTCCTTGTCCAAAATTAGAATGTGTTTTTTTTTCCAATTCCTGTCCTTGCTGTTTAGCTGTGAAGTAGCTGGGAGAGCAGAAATCTTCTAAACATGGGGGAAGTTTGTTTGTTGGGTTGGGGTTTTTTTCTGCTGTGCTTTTTTTTTTTTTTTTGCCAAGTTTGAACAAACAAAGTCAAAGACATAGACTTGGATTTTAACAAAACAGGTGTGATGCTCATTGCTGAGCCAAACAATCACAATATGGGTTTTTTTGATCAGGAAACTAGGCACTGAAGAAAAAGTTAATGTCTGCAAGACAATTGTTAAATATTTAAAAACATTTATTTGGGTGTGGTGTGGTTTTTGTTTTTTTTTTTTTTTTTTAAGGGGACCCACGTAGGCCATATCCTACAGATCTGGAAATGAGGAGTGGTCTCCTGGGTCAGATGAACAACCCATCCACAAATGGAGTTAATGGACACTTACCAGGGGATGCACTTGCAGCAGGCAGACTGCCAGGTAAGAGCAGCTCAGTTTTGTTTTGCTTTTCTTTATTCTTTTTACAGTCGTAGCAATTATGCATTTCCCTTAGCAAAGGCAAATCAGAGTTAAAATAATGAAAATTATGGCTAATGTTGTTCCCTAGCAGTGAAGATCTAGTAAATAAAGTTAACAATTAGGAATTGCATCATTTTATTTCATTGCGAACTCATACTGCAGACACTACAACTAAGTCAGTGTAAACAAAACTCACTTAGTTACCCTTCAAATCACTTATTTAAATTGCTGTAAGTTATTATCAAATCATATTGAAAAGAATCATTTTCAAAGCAAACTTTTCTTAGCAGTGCTGACAAAGCATGGAACTGTTAAAGATCTGTTCAGAAGAAAAGGTGTGTATTGTCATCCACTACCTTCCTTTAAGGCTACGCTCTATATAGCAAGACTGTTTGCTTGGAAGTTCTGGATTGAAAAGACATTGCAAAGGACAGCTGGTGAGGTAGTACCCTGAGTGTAGGATTCAAGCTTTAATCCCTCAATTGCGTAGTGAGATGGGCAATTCCGCCAACTTTAGTGGCATTCATTGATTCACGCTAAAATAGAATTTAGCAGTAAATTACAGTAATTGAATTGAGAATTCAGTGGTTCCGTACCTGTGCAGCATTAATCTACCATGGTTAGATTGAATTGTGGAAAAATTCTTAGTTTGGATTCATAGATCTGTAACAGTTCTTACCTGTCTGTTAAGCTACTTGCAGGTGTTATGGAAAGCTTGTTTTCAAAAATTATATTGAGTATATTAAAAACCCAAACATATTGTGACTCCATTGGAGAAATAGAAAACTTGGATTTTGTGTTTCCAATCATCTGTCTAACTCTCTTGTCACCTCTTAAGAAGTGACTTAAAGTTCTGCATCATCTCGCTTTCTAAACCTCTGGCCTTGGATAATATGGGTCAGTGAGTTGAATAGGAGCGGGACCCTGCCATCTGCCCATAGAAACCCAGCAGGGAAGTGCTGAGGGTGGGACCATGTGTCTTTTCTGTTCTTTTGAAATATGGTCAGAGAAGATGTTCAGGTTGTGTCTTTCATGGAGTTGTTTCTGAAGAGCCTGTTATGGCTGATTTAGGGGACGCAAACTTGCTCCTTTAACTTTTGAGTGCTGTCTCTGTGGGAACTGAAAGCCCACTCTTTAGGACTTTTCTCTTGAGAAGCTAGAAAATGTGGGATTTAAACTCCTTAAAGTTCTTAACTGAATGTGAGTCTCCTATGTCAGGGGAAATCTTCTAATTACTAGACTGTCAGGTAAGAGGGAAATGTCAAAACTTCATTTAAAAGAAAATAGAGGCTGCCCTGGCCACAGGATGTAAAACACTGGCTTACATTCTCAGCTGGTTCAAATAAAGTTGGTTAACTTCACCGCAGCTGGGGTGAGATCACCTGGTGCTATTTTTGGTCTTCCTAAAGCGGGCACAGAACTGGTATAAAGGCTGCATTATGTCCTCTCAGGCGCTGGTGGGTTGGATTTGTACAGCTAGGTAATGCATCTGGTATTAGGGGACTGTGGCTGTAGTTCCTGTGTGGAATCTCAGGTGTCTGCAGACTTAAAGATCAGAAGCTACAATGTGTGGAGTCTGTGTGCTTCTGAGTTGGGCAGCGCCTGAGTGAGAGTAAGTCTACCATATGTGACGCCCTGCTTAGACAGTGCCCTCTTTTTTCTGTACTCAAAGTCCCGTGTGGGTGGGCTTTTGTTCACTTCTGACTCTTCCTAATTATTTTTAATTCTTGGTGTAAGTGGGAGATAGCTGGTTTCTTTTATGGGACAGACCTAGCTACAGTGCCTGGTAATAAGTGCAGGAGAACTGAAGCACAGCAGCAGGAGCATAAATAAAAAGGAAGGGAGCAGAAATGGCATATAGATGTGTACTGCAGCTTTGAAATGGGAGCTGGTTTGGGGGCAAGGAAGGGAGAGTCTAAGAAGTGTTGTGGAGGGAGGGTAGGTTGGTAGGGAGAGCAGTGTGAGATGGCTTTGGACATAGGAGGAGAAGAAACAGCAAGAGCTGAGAGAAGTCAGAGGCAACTGAGGCTGGCCTGACTGGGGCATAGGGGGACATTCCCACCTCTCAAGTATCTCTGTGGCCCTGGTTTTGTAGTAGGATGCTCTTCTCCTTTGCGCTTGCTGCACCATATCTGCTGTTGGAAAGATAATAACCAAGGTGTTTCAGCCAAATTTGGATAAAACCTTTTACTCTGAATTTCTATGGTCTACCTTAAGTGTTTGGGTTTTTTTGATGTAATGTTTTCATCTATTTTTGCATACTGACAGAGGGTGACAGTTTTCATTACTGCCAGTGGTTGTGAATGTTAAGTCAGTTCAAACTGTGCTTTGAAGATGAAAAGCTCTGTATGAATATAGACTGTTTTGAAGTGGAGTGATGAGAGAACAAGAGCCATCTACATAAAGGGGCCTCCCTGGCAGAGTTGGCTTTTACAGTGATAGAATGGCTCCATCATGATATGTTTTCCAGCTGTTACTGGAGGGTTTCCTCTGTCTGAAATTCAGGAAGGATTTTAAGATTTGTTTTAATTTTAAATTGGAGTTCTAGTTGAGCTGTCTGGTTGAATTTGTTGATATACAAAGCTGATAGTTTGATTGATTATCCCCCTTTTTTCCTAGATGTGCTCGCTCCTCAGTATCCTTGGCAGTCAAGTGATATGTCAATGAACATGCTACCTCCTAATCATAGTAATGACTTCATGTTGGAGCCTCCAGGACACAATAAAGAGAATGAAGATGATGTAGAAGTTATGTCAACAGACTCCTCAAGCAGCAGTAGTGACTCAGACTAGGTACAAGAGGGACAGTATCCCTAGTAGACCTTTCCTGTGGTGAAGGTAGGTTGGATGCTGTTTGTCACAAACTGCAATACCCTTTTGTTACGCTGGCATCCCTGTGTAGGGAGAAGGTAACAGCTGGCTCAGAAATAGGGCGACTAATTTAAAACCATGGACTTCAGAATTTCTTTTTTTCCATTAGACGTTCAAGTAAGATGACTGGGAGCTTTCTGCTGGAGGAGAGATTTCAAATTCACAGTGATTATGTAAATGTGTGAATGTGTATGTTTGCAAGAGACATGCGTGTGTGTGTATATATATATTTACTATACATTAGATGACAAAAGTTCCTGGGAAAAAAGGTGTAAGGGGAATCCCCTTGTATGTTAGTAACTTTACTCTTTTGATGATAGCCTTTTCTATGGCACAGAAATGAGGCACGAAATTTGTAATTTTAGTATCTTTTTTTGTTACTGCCTAAATCCATGTTCTTGATCATCTTGTGTGTGTCAAGAACAAAAATGTGGCAATAAGGTGTAAAAACCAAAAGTTTGTAATTATTGTAATATATAATGAATGATTTGTCATAAATAAACTCAGCTTTGATGTAACTCCATTTCATTTTGAAAACTTAAATCTTCTATGAGTTACTGTGTAACTTCAATACTCAGCACATTTTATCCCAGGATGTGGTTGAATTCGGATTCAGTTTCAGAAGTTTGTACTTGGTTTTCCCCTTTGCTAAATGCCATGTCAGTACTGGAAGCAGCGGAGCAGTCAGGAACTGCAAGCCTGTCCTTTCAGCTGAGCTTTATCAGGTGCACACAGAACGGGGCAGAGCCTGAGGCAGTGATGTAGAGTGCTTGTTTGCAAGACTTCACCAATACTTTGGTTGAGCATCCTGGGACCCTGGAGATGACACGCTTTGGGGCACGCTGCAGGTTCAGCTCCTTTCAGTTCAAAGTGCTCACAGATTCTTTATTCTTGTCATCTATAATTTTTTCAGTTCTTTGAACCTGCTAATTTGTTTAGTTCAGCAGCTGCCTTTCCTGCCTTGGCTACCATGTTCTTTCATCTTTCCAAAGGCCCTTCCCTTGGCTTTCCTTTCCTTGTTCCATTTGGCTTAAGGAGTCGTTTTATGACAGCTACTTTTCTCTTGGTTTTCTGATTTGATCAGAGGGTTACTTACGTGAACTGTTGCTAATGGCAGTTACAGGTTCTTCCCTGCAGCGAGGCTTCCTGAAGCACAGATCACAATTCTCTCCACTCTTCCATTTTCTAGATTCCTTGCAGGAAGTACCTGGTAAATCATTTGCTCAGACAATCTTTCAAATATTGCTGTCAGTAATGCTGCCACACATGACCAACATATGTACAAATCCCATAAGGATGTGGAAGTGAAAGGGACCTCTTCAGTCAGGTTCAATCACATAATATGGGGCAGTGTTTTTTGTTTTAAAAGAGAAATGGGGAGTTTGGGTGTCTCAGCTGTTCCTTTTGGAAGTATTTTCAGAATTATTCAAATTTCACGTCTATTTTGCAGCCAGGAGTTATTAATATAGGTATATATTTTAACCTTTATTCAGTATAATCATTTCCTCTTTGGTGTTTACCCCCAATCTCTTTATAGAGAACTGTATTTCCTCTTTAATTCACATTAATCCCAACACACCTGGCCTCTTTCAATCACCCCAGTTAACCTTGCCTACCTCGTTCTAGTTCACATTGGGTTTTCTTAAACAAGTGTGATCAAAATAATACACAACATTGCAAAATGCGGTTTCTTGATGCTTTGTACCATGGGATTTTCTTCCCTAAATGCTCCTCTCTCAACACATCTCATGACGCAGCCACAGCTCACTAGTCTCTTTCGTCTTCTCATTTATAAGGACATTCTTTTCTTGGAATGAAATACAAATACAGATAATTAATAGTCATGGGAAGTGTAATGTATAGTCTGCCCAAAACTCTTATATGGCTCTATCATGTGATTCACTAACTGAAATGTTGTGGAGGTGGGTGATTGTTTCCAGACATAAATAAGAGTGAACAGAAGCAATGACGGCTTCTTTTGCTGGGTTGGTTGCTCACCCATTAAAGGATTCAGTGGGACCGATGCATTACATCTAAGAAGTAGGTAAGAAGACAGCTCTGCCATAAAATCAGACTCTGGGGTATAAGATGCATCCTAACCTGTTTTTTTTACATCAGTGCTCCAAACCGTGTTGAGTTTTTCTCAATGCTGGATAACTATAATGCCATTTTAGGCTAATTCTATTACAAGCAATTTAGCAAACTGCAAAGTTTTAACTGTGTGTTTTGTTATTCAGTGGCTTAGATGTGTACATAATAGGCTTTCCTATTTACTAAAAGTACCAAAAATCAAAGTAAACATAACATTTGGTTGAAAGGACTGAGTCTTGGCAGCTAAAAACTACCAAGAATCAGATTTTCTGGGGAGAAAAAGGTACAGATGCATCGTACATACAAAACAAGTCAAGTTAGGGGTTGCTGACAGCTGATTGCAGTAATACACTGTAGTCATTTAATCAGTCCACTTAGAAAGGATATAGAAACCCTGACATATGGAGGTACCATTTGTGTCCTCATTCCAGTAACTACTTGTATATTTGCAACAGATAGACTGAATATAACCATTACTGGTAACAAAATATTTATTGTGTGACAAACCACTTTATGGTGACCTCGGTTTTCCCATCAGGAGCTAGATGCCTTCTGAAATTTAAAATTGCACTAAATCATTTTAATTTTTTTTTTTTCATTACACTTTGGGACAGATGGGCAGGACATCTGTCAACTCTTCCTGCAGCCTCTTTGTTGACAGCTGAACGGAATAATTTTCAGTGTACATAAAGTTGCTTTCAGGAAGAAAATCTCTGCTTTTGAATAGAAAAAATAAGCCTTCCACAAAGATAGAGTAGTAAAGGATTTTTCAGTGACATTTCTGATTTCAAAACTGCTTTGTAACATTTATCTTCTCTCTTCACTTCAGAGTATCTGTCCTAAGTTAATGCTTCAAATTCTAAGCAGAAGGCTTGTGAGCGTCAGTAGCATCCTTACACCTCGTATCCCTCTGCCTGCTTCTCGGCAAAAAGAGCTATCTCCATTTAAGAAAAATGTATGTGCAAAGTAAGAAAGAGCCTTAAACCCTTCAAGATCATTTCTTTTAGGAACTGACAAGTCAATTTGTAATTTCAGACAATTTTAATCTTTTGATATTGTGCTGATGTTTTATTCAAAAGAAATGAAAGGTACCTCAGAACATTTTGTACAAAAAGGAAACAGACAAAAACCCTATTTTAAAAGAACCCTGAAGAGGGGAAAAAAAAAAAAGAAGAGCCAATTAGTGACTTTTTTAGAAGTCATATCCTAAAATCAGTTGCTCATCTCCTAATGACTACAGCTGGAAAATAATCAAATTAGGTTACAGGTTCTAGAAAAATGAAAATTACAAGCTCATTGGTTTTGTATGTATCTTCATGTACTGTGATTTCATTCACTACCACTTCATTTAGTCGCATCAAACTGAAAATTAACAAACCTATCAAATCCCAGTAGCCGTACAGAATTACACCCATCCGTGCTGTTTAAAACTGACAACCCTCTTTAGCCAAACAGTATGACAGTCTGCTGTAGAGCTACACCTATAAATGAGATTGGTTTGTACAGTGTTATTTGTGTCAGCCTAGTAGAACACTGGAGGCACCTCTCGATTAAACTTGTAAGAGTTTAGTAACGTGATCGGGAATTAAGATCAACTGCAGAGACATGAAAGACTTCTGCAGATGAATTCTAATGTAACTGAGGCTGCAAACAGAACTCTGTAATGAAAGGGGGTGGCAAAAACGGTCAGGGAATTTTCATTCCCTGCAACAAGCCACCACAACCTTTTTGTGTTTGTAATACTCCGATTTTCAAGTGTATACCACCATCTGCAGGAGAGCGAGGCACGGTCTGTAAAACGTGACTTTTGTTCATGACAGTGTCTTAACTGAAGCTATGAGACAAGGCTAAGTTTAAAAATTGGTCCAGGATTTGTAACTATAGGAAGGCAGCATGACATACAAAGTGGTGTTGCATAGAAAGCAGGGGTGTGGTTTAAACAAACCAGTTTCTCTCGGGCCTGCTGCTGCAGCTGTTGCCAAGCAAGTAAGCTTCTCTGACTTTTCAGTAGGGCCAGCTGTGACAGGACAAGGGGTAATGGCTTTAAACTAAAACAGGGTAGGTTTAGACTAAGTG